GCCCTTTCTTCGACTTATCCAGAGTGATGGTTGACGCAGCTCTCATCAATACGAAAAAGAAGTGCCAGGCTGACCTCAAGCCTTGACGGCTGAATAAAATGTTTCTTACCTCGTTCCATAAAGCTTCCCGTTTTTAGGTACTCCCCCAAGGAGCTGTCTTTGAGACCTGGTCTGCGTGTACCCAGTACGCACCAGCAATAATCTGATTTGACCAAGCGCTGCTGTGGGCATACGCTCATACACCCGACCTGCTTTAGAGTAGCCACAGGAATCAGTAAGACGTTCCGAGTCTACTTTTTCTTCGCTGTGACATGGTTGCGAACTATGCAAGGAGCCGCACCATGGAGATCAGCATGGACAAAGTAGTCCCCTTGTGTAAATATCGCTTCACTAGAAGCTCATTTTGGTGAGCATCTTTTCCTGCCAACACCAAACACTTTTCACTAGCAAGACACCAGTGAAGTTTTCAAGCCAGAGCGTTTTACGTCGCTGATATATCTCGTTGCGTTTTGTTTGCTGCTTCTCCAGCGTATTTTCATGGTGTTCTTCTCCGTCCGTGCGATGACTTTGTCGGTAGCCTCAGTTGCCTGTTTTAACTTTTCTATAGCCTTTGTATAGATTTCGCGGGCATTTGCAATAGCCGAAATTGACAAGTAAATCCAGATAATGTGAGCCTTCTTGTCTTCCTCACCGGTACCATCATCGCCAAGTCCATCCTGACCCTCCTCGTCGGCGACACAGAGCAAGACAGCCACTCGATTTCTCGCAAGATCAAGTTGGTGAATTAAATTTGCTACGGGATTACCATTCATTTGTACCGAACAAGTTCCTCCAAACACGCCAGTCCATACCGCTAGATAGCGCACTACGAATGACAAGCAAAACGATTTCCACATCCTGCTGGTTCATTATCAAATAGTTTTTGTGCCGTGAGCTGTGCTCCTAAACTTCTTGTAATTAAACGATCTGTTACTGCTTGTTTTTTTAGCTTCACAAGTCTTTTCTCAGCTGCCGTCAGAGCACTTTTCTATACCAACCCGGCTTTCGCTTCTTCATAGCGCGAAATGTATTTATATACAGCTTCATCAAATGTTTGAAAGCTTTAAACCTTCTTGTGCTGATGCTGAGCATACAAGTACGGCGCAAATTCTTCAAACATTTCCGTGTCGCCACCATCCTCAAAATCTTTCAGAATAATAATTCCACGCATCTGGAAGTCAGTACACATATATCTAGTCTCTATAACAGCGTTTTTGTTTATGTGTTCTTCTGCTTCTCCTTGATCTTGCCTCAAAATTGCCCCATTGATCGATGTCTGTTTTTGCTATAGCCTCTCTAGCGCTCGAGACAACTAGCAATACCATTGTTATCACTTTTGAGCAACCCCATTGCCTAAACAAAAGCTACCACAGCTATATGTCTGCGACAAAATTGCTTTTTGCCCTGGCTGGGATAAGTATATGACTCGTCAAAGCTCCACTAGGAGAGAAGTGCTTAGTACTCAACTTTTTGACTTCCAGTCGACCCATAGCTCCTGGCGTTCTATCCACGACATACGCAGGATAAAATGTACCCTAAATCCAGATCTGAGACTAGACAATGTTGCATGCTGTCAAAATTCGCAAACTTCACGTGAAACTTTAATATTGGTGTGAGAGGTTTTGAAACAACTGCCGCTGATGGGAAAGTGCACAATTCCGAGACGGAAACTAATTCATAAGTACCAAAGTCTCAGTGTTTATGAAGATGATGGAACGCTGAATCTAAGGTGTGCGTGTTTCACGCCGGCTGTTAGCTGCATGCACGACATTAATAAAACATTGAGTATTTGTATCAGTATAGGCTGTATTAATTGTATATATATGAATTTTCTAGGAGCTAACTAAACACATAGTTACAGTGGACGTTCTTGATTCGGTCCTGGCACGAGCATACAGTACTTACCTGTGAGCATTCATGAGAGCGGACTCTACAGTTGAAAATATCCCTCTGTGCATTGGCAATATTACATAAATCCTATGTTATTTCAGAACACAGTGGTAGCAATATATCACTATTTATTACAATGAAGAATAAAGTTGTATTGATAAGGCACACTTATCATGACACTGCCTCTCAGAGTTCAAATGTGTAAGCTGTTAGGAAGCAATCAGAATGCTCGCGAATCGAATAAATCTACAAAAGAAGACAAAAGAAGTAAAATACGACTAGTATATAACTGCAGCGAGCTCGGATAGCTTTTCGTTGGTCAAGCTCGGCTTTTGTGTGGTGACCGTGTCCCGACTACATAGATGCCTAACGATCGAGTGATCGCATATTTTTTCCTTCAGTAGCGGGATCCGCCGAGTGGACGCCGTAATCCATACGAGGATAAAGAACCAAACGTGGATACGAGCGCATGAGAGCCGCCCTGTGGGAAGCCTCTAACTAATGCTCATGTGTCTCGTCGAGACAATTGATAATAATATCACTTCCTTCAGAAGTCGAGAGGTCGGAAAACAGACACGGTGTCCGCAAGGTTCGAGCAGGACTCACGTCGCGCCGTTAACGCACCTTGCCCTCTTCTTCTTCCCATCCTGGGAAGGGGTATCCGAGTCGTATTCGACTTCCTCCAACTCCTCGACGAAGAAATCCGTCGCCTGTGACAGGCGCGGTGTGTGGCGCTCGGTTGTCGAGGGCTTGGGATGTGCTTCCCGCGAAGTCGCGGACGCACTGTCCGGAGTTGCAACGCGTTCAGGAGACAGAGAAGGGCTTTGCCTGCGAGCGCCCTCGGGACCATAGAGACTGGACATTTTCGTGTCATAGACACAAGGCTAATTGAGCATAGAATGCGTGAAGATGGTCCTTGGGACGTAACAGTGTCTCAGACGCGCGAGCCTCATACGAGGCGACAGTTAAATGTGAATTTTGGGTATTTACAA